AATAGGTTCGTCCCACATGCCCACACGTCGTGAGAACGCCTGTAACAAAACGGGCGAGCGAGCGCGGCGCAGTTCAAAAAGGGCGTGCCCGCCGCCATAGAAACTGTTGCCCGCGGTACCCGATGGACAGCGCTGGAAAATGAGGTGCAATCTGACGGAAAGGACGACGCCGCGCTACCCCTACATCGGAGGGCGCATGTATAGTTACGCGAACCCGCGAGCGGTAGCTCACTTTCGTTCCCGTTCGGCGAGCCAGCATCACTTCGCCTTAGATATTGTCAGCCGCAGCAAGGTCTACGTTTATTAGATAGGAGTGTTGGACGTCAAATAGACGCCTAGTCAGCTGTCCGCGAAATTTCATTGTTTTCCGGAAGTCAGTAATTCTTCGGCCCATTTGTGAATTTACCCGTTATTAGGAAAGTGGTACGAGCTGAGATCTAGTAAAGTGCAATCAGCCGCGAGCGAGGCCTGCACGATCGGAACTCGCACGAATTAACTTGTGAGGTGCGAAAAAAACATCCACGCGGGCATAGTAAAAGGCGCCGGGCGTAGGCGACGTAGAAGACGAGGACGGAACCGGACGTAGGAGGCAGAAGAGGACGCAACCGGGAGATCAAGACCGGAAGAGGACGCGAGAACGCATCAAGCAGTCCCGATTTTGGCATGGCAGAAACTGGGAAGCGAGCGGCAGCGCATTATGTAGATGACGTTCACGTCAGCCGGGGAGAACTAGTTTGAAGGAAAGTGCGAGGGAATTAAGGACACGGGAGGCAAAAGTATTGAATTCAAAGTTCTAGCCATTTCAAAGCACGATTGCCTACAAAGAAATTGTAAATAGGTCATATTCATCCTTGTTATTCATTGCCACAGCGAAAATTGTGTAAGGAGAGTGGTGCATTTGCACACATTTTACATGAAACATTGTTTGAGGAAAAATGATAATTTGAAAATTTTGTTCATGTTCAGTGTAAATAGGAGAAGTAACAGATTTAGTTAGCAGACTTACAAAGGGAATTCCCAGTAGTTATTATCTGGATTATTTTGTGAGTAGATTTTTAAGTTATTGAAAGGGTCTCAAATTTTTTGTGCTTTTTAATTTGGTGTGATTTGTAAGGCACGAAGTGGGTTTTTGAAATCATTAAACCCAGTTTAACTGATTTATGTGTTCTTGTTATTGGATTGGCTCTCACAACCTCAAAAGATTCCACTGCTCTGTGGTATTATTAGCTCGCAAGAGAACGATATCTGCGAACCACCCCAACGGGCGATTCTATGGAAGTTGGTCGGCGCACGCGCGAAGTTAAATGTAGCGCGTCGGCGGCGTCAACTCCTGACGTCGGCTCGGCAACGGTCAAGCCGAGAGAAATCGACGCTGACCAACAATGAAAATTTGAAAGATTAAGGTAAGGAACTAAAAATCGCCATTGGCTCCCGAGGAAAAGGCGAGAGAACTAACGAACGTAACGCTTTTTATCCCGTTGAGAATTTTGTCTTCTAAAATTTCTTAAAGAGATCAGTCAAAGTGAATTCCGAGTGCGATTAAGTGTTAGATTTTCCCGAGAATCGTCGCGAAAAAATCCTTGCGCGAATACTGGGCTCGGAAGTGGTGCAAATAAGCCCTCGTTTTAGGAACAGGAAACGCGCGCGTAGGACGCGCGCGTAGGACGCGCGCGTAGGACGCGCGCGTAGGACGCGCGCGTAGGACGCGCGCGTAGGATGCGTGCGTAGGACGCGTGCGTAGGACGCGTGCGTAGGACGCGTGCGTAGGACGCGTGCGTAGGACGCGTGCGTAGGAATTACGACCCACCATTAGCATCTGACATTCGCTACCACGACCACGACTCAAACTCAAGAACACGCGGTTTCCGATCGACGTCTGCTAAGGAAGAAATTGGATTCGAAGGAAACACGCTACTAACGTGGGCGACGTCGTGTTTCTTCCCCCTCCCTTCGAAACTCAAGGCTCCCAGATTCATCCCTTCCCTGAATATTCAGTCTTTTTGGAGAAAGTTTGCTACGTACTGCTTAATTCACCACCAATCGCTGGTCGAGCTTACATGGAATTTTCCTTCCCTGACACTGACAAAAGTTGATTCTCAGCGCACGTACTTAGCTGCGCGTCTCCTTAGCACCGGCGTCTACATTAACTCCATCGCCATCATCATCATCTTCACGGTCTAGGCCTAATGGCCTGTTCCGGTTCAAAAGTCCACCGTTTTCTTGCTATCCCGGGAACTCGTTTTCCAAACGGACGATATTTCCATTTCTTTTGAGGAAGTCACTGCTCTTCTATTCTTCATAGATTTTGGGTCCAATTTCTTTTATGCTTTTGGATTTGATCGACGACGGATACAACTTTTAGTTCTTTTCGAATATCTTGAATTCTTTCGTGATCTGTTTTCGCACAACATTTTACTGCCCTCAGAAACTTCATCTCCGACGCCTATGTTCTGCTCTGTTCTCTTTGTTTCCAATTCCAGTATTCGTTTCTGTATAGCAGAGTTGGTATTGCCATTATCTTATAGAATTTCAAGCGTGTTTCTTTTCGGGTTTTCTTACCAAGGGTTCTTCTTACGGTGCCACACAGCCGGAACCACGAGAGTTTCTTTTCTATGTCTCTGTCGTATTTTTATGAAACATTGTTTCCTAGATAATTAAAATTGCTTACTTGGTACAATTTTTTGAAAGAAGGACTAGTTTTTGCGTAATTTCCGATTGAAAATTATGTAATTTCTAAAAACTCTTTCTTAAAATCAGAATGAAATTTTTTGATTAAAGTTTCTCCTCATATGTAACAACGTATGGTAAAAAAAACTAGCGGTGTTATAAAATGGAACGAACTTTCTCGCATTTAGTTTTTTAATCTCTTTAGTCTCGAATAGCTTTTCGGTTATGCCTTTGAGCTGACATATTTTGTAGCCCAAAGGAAATTTTCTCACATTTTGTCAATTTTTCGGTTCCTTAATACTAAAACTGAAACAATAATGTCTTTAAAAATGATGTAAAATGTAAAACCCCTGTCCGACCCGGATGGCTGAACTGGTTAAATGGCGGGTAAAGATTCAGCGTTCCGGTGCAGAAGGTCGCAAATTCCAGTCACGCTATGGCCTATTGTTTGTCACTTATCTCATGAAGATTTTGTCGCAGAAAACTATTGAGAATTCGTTAAACTTTATTGAAAAGCATTTGAAGCACTTCTACTCAAAAATACTATCAATACAGATAAATTAACAGGACGTGTTTGTATGTGGTTTTCGAATTTTCAACTTTTATACACTTTTCAACTTCCTTATTTGATTTCCAAAATGCATGTTACGTCAAAACAATTGTTGTCTTTCTATGCATTTGTATGAACCGATTTCAATAAACTAATGAACCTATCAACATGAAATTTAAATACACTATAAACACAACCCATGGGAAAACTTAAATATCCCAGATTGTTTCGAATAATATTATTATTACTTTTTTCTTTCTCGCCCTTACGAAGTACTTCGTAAGAAGAGAAAGTTATAATCGCGCGCCGGAAATCTGCGAATTTTCGTCAGAAAAACTCTTATTGTCGGGCCCTGATAACGTAAAAGTGGAAAAATTCTGTTACTAAATATAGAAAAAATCTCTAACACCTGGTGTATCCAGAATCCATATTTTGTGGCTCCTTGAAACCCAAAAATCGATTGACGGCAAAATGTTCCTATTTGTCTGCCTGTTGTCAACGCTAGCAGCTAAACCGTTCAGCCGATTTTCTGCAAAATGGATATTTCATTGTCGATCTGGATGAACTGTAGGTTTTTGGAGCTTCAAAGAAATATTTTGACATTTGAGGTTTTTTACATTAACCAAGCGCTTATGGTTTTATGCGTCTGCGTGTGTTCGGCCCCTATGGCGCTTCTATGGCGCTGTGGTGTGAGTGACTCTGAGGATCTGCGTTCAGGTTTTGTTGCCGAAACAAAAATTTTGCTGGTTGAAAACATTTTACAGGTTTATGCAGTATTATTATACAGTGGTGCGGTTAGAAATAATGCGAGAAAGTATGTGCTTTTGTAGCATCACTAACTTTTTTCTTGGAGTGATGAGTGTATTTTCATTGCTAATTGTAAATATTCTTATTTGTCTGTGCAGCTGATGCGATTTCGAACATTTCTCACAGTTTTAACTTTCTGTGAGTTTCAACTTTTTCCGTTTGTGTGCTGCTAGTGTCGTTCATTACATCTACCATTGTTAATTTATGACTAGAGATTGACGAATTTAAGTTTTAATTTTCACTTGTAGTTGCTATGAATGAAATAAAATCGAGAAATGTGTTTAGTTGCCCACAGAATCGCTCTGCAAGAACACGTACCCGTGAAAGAATTGTTATATGTTCTTTCTGATTGAATGGACGATGTTATGTGCATCATTAAAAATTAACATAACCTACATCTCCAAAAGATGAGGAATTTGGATCGATATTTTCCATTATTCAGTAAATGATTATTTTTTTCATATTCTGGAGTTGTATATCGAACCAGGCCAGGACACAGTCACACTAGTATACAGTTCATCAATATTGTACTCTTTGGTTACTAAACAACATCATACTATTTTGCTACTATATATTATATTATATACGATATAACGATATTATACTATTTTATACTGATATATAGGAATGTGTATACAATCTGTGGCACCAATAGCCACAGGAAAAATGCATTTCTTCTGTCACTTATTTTTTATTAGTTTATTTCCTCTTCGGATTGGGAATATCCAATTTGGCGCAATTTGAATATTTTTCTATTTCTTTACTCCCGTCAAACGAGACGGATAAATGATATTTTTTATGTAACATATCAAATCGAACACGTCTCGGTGATTTACACTGATAATAGTAAAAGCGGTAGAATAGTGATCGCGAAAATAATTAGTGTCCTTTTGAAATTCCCTCTCAGCGCAACACGCAGTTGCTTATTGCAGAAGCATATTGGCTGACCTGCAAAGTTGCTCACGAGGGCACCTAAGACGTACCAAGAGTGGTGCGAAGGCTTGTGTTCGCGTATCGTGGAAAGGAGCAGGAGAGAGTGACAAAGATTGTCAAAGTCAGACGTGTGACTGGGGGTGGCCTCTGTTCACGTTTTTTTTCTTTTTGTAGGAACTTGTTTAAAACCTGGAAGAAATTGTATTGTATTCGTTTCAACAATGGAAACCTCAATATTAGATGATGTTCGGTAAGTATTGGTGCGTTGTGTAAGGAAATTACTGAAATGGCAGATTTCTCAAACGTTTGAGTTGTGAACTTTCCCCTGTATTAGATACATCGTTCATACTGTAAAATTACTACTCATATTTTACTGTTATGCATGTTCGTATGTCTTGTAGTTGACAGTATCATGTTTGTTTGATTGATTGTTTTGTCTGTTACCAAAATATCTAGCCTTCAGCTTCTTCATAGTTTATTCAATTTGCATTGACATGAACTGACAGATATGGAATGTTTTAAAATCCAGTAATTTTCAAACAAATCAGTTATCAACTTATTTACATTGAGTTATGATTTTACATTGTTATCTTATCAGCAATGGCAACTATTTGGAAAGTGAGGAATTAAAAAAAGAATTGTTAATTCTTTGACTAAATAATTACACCTTGGAATAGCTATTGAAAAAATACATAATATGCATTTATGTTAAAAGTATTGAGAGTGGAAGAGACTTCCTTTTAAATCTGTACTCCAGAAATGCCATTAGTACTGAGACTTGGTATGTGATATGAAAAGTTGATTTGAATGCCTTACCTGTAAAGCTCTTACTTTTTTGTGCACATGCTCGACCTAAGCATCAGTAAAATCCTGTTGTGAGACATTATTCAAAATCCATACCTACTTACTTTTAAGGCTGAAGCACAAGTTAAGATCCATAACTTGGGTATAAACAAACTTCCAAAGGCCATGCCATCCATGAAAAAGAACAATGAAAGAATGTCAGTTGAACTACTGAAGAAGAGAGAAAAAAAAAAGATTTAAAAATATATCAAAGAAAGTTTCAAAACACTTAATATTGGACTGAAATGAATTACACAATATTAATATAAAATAATTTTATTGGAAGTTCTTGAATTGATAATATTATTCTGATTTTATTAGTTTTGAAAGTGATAATTTTTTTCTTGATAATTTTATGTCTGGAAATGATCTTTGTATTTCAACACATGCAAATGGTAAATGTTTTAATGTTTAAAACATTAACATTGCATCAATTGTCTCTCCCTCTTTTGATACGGTGCACAGCCTGGATGGTTTAGAATTTTTATAGCATGTTTTTCAGCACATTTACGTTCTGTTTGGGAATGCTTTTGAGTTGGTTCCCAAAGGTTTCCATTACATTGAACCAGCTGTTTTTGGCTCTAATGGTTATATAGGCATTTTTGGGGCTCTATGAATTAGGTTTTTTATATTGTTTAGTCAGAAAATGTGTCCATTATTGTCAAGTGTCTATGTCAAAAGAATAAAATAGTTACTACTAATTTCGCCCCAAATCTGAGGCCTATATGGATGTTTTACATTTAAAGATGTGTTTTTCTGTTGAATTTCAATTTTTGCTTAATTAAGGTTGGAAGTTTCAGAATATTATATTTTACAATTTTGAGAAAGTTGAAACAAATTTAAATTTTATCTGAAAAAATGGTATATGGAAGAAATTCACTTCTTGAGTAGAAGAAATATCCTAACCCAGACTGTGAATGCAGTGGATATGGTCACCAAATTTGTGAAGAACTGTACATCGGTAAAATCTTTTGATTGATACAAAAATACAATTAATAGGTTGTCATAGTCAAAAGTTGTCACCATCTCAAATTGGGAGACTACAAAAACTGCGACCATGTGATTTGGTGATTTTGCTTGAATTAGAATGTGCATGTTATGCAGTAAAATAGCAGATCTGTTCACATTATTAGTCTCTGTATACAGTTTTCTACGTATTCTATTTCTCAAGCAACAATACAAGATAAACATGACTATACCTACATCAAATTACATATGATGAACCGTCTTGCACATTTGTGATGATTGAAACGTAAATTCCTCAAATTCAGTAAATATTATGTAGATTTAAATGAAATGGATATGTTGTAACAATATATATATATATATATATATATATATATATA